CCCGTCGCTCAGAACAAAGTTTCCCTTTTTTCCAGCTTTTCCCTTTTTTTTTATTCTATGTGCTGGGAGAGGCCGTATCCGCCAGTATTTTTGAAAAGTGGGCGGGGCTTCCCCAAAGTGGGCGGAGCTTCCATTGGTGGGCGGAGCCAATCGCTAAAGCCTAAAAAGCGAAAATCCGGAAGAAAACCAAAATTCCGCGATAAACACAAGTGGGCGGGGTCAGAGGGGCGGGGCCTGGTGTGCTGTGCATGGTTATTCGTTTTGTGAAGATTGGATGTGAAAAGAACTACGTCGAAAAAAGTTATAAAAATTCAGAACTTACGTAACTTCATTGTTAAGTGGGCGGAGTCAGATCTGTATAGGTATCAATCTTTTTCAGTTGAAGTGTGTGTGCAAAGGGCAAAAACGAAAAAAAGTCGAGGGAGCAGATTTCATGAAGCATCTCGGAAAACCCTGTCCGCGCTGAGAAGTGGGCGGGGATAATGGGGCGGGGCTTGCAACAGTACCTAGTGTGGTCTAGTTATCAACCACCTAATTGTAAGGGGTGTGTCCGATTTGGTTTGAAAAGTGTCCGATTTAAAGGGAAAATGGTATAGAACCCCATTTCCATCCCAGTTTGTACGCACCCAGTTAACTCCATCTCCAACACTACGCCCCCTCCGCACAGCTGATTCCCCTACAAGAACTCTACGACTCACTGAACTCATATTGCGCTATAGCGCCACCCCATTTTTGCCGCGAAACCGGTACAAGGTTGTTCGTCGCGGACCACACTACCCTCCCGACGCCATATTTTCAACTTCTATACCTGATCGCGGACCGTGCCTTTCAAGACAACAAGCTGTTCTGTCTTTCACAAGTTTTCTACCTGGAATTACTTAGAAATCCGCGCTAGCTATGGTTGCCTCGATAATGCAGAAAGCCCTTTCGTTTAGTAACACAAGATAACCGTAAAGGCAAGGCCCAGTGGACGGACGGGAATTGGGAGGCACGGGGAACTGTCTCTATTAAGATGGTTTCTACTAGCAAACCCATATATAGTCAAAGGACTTGGGTACAAGTTACGTTTGGTCATATTTAGTAAGAAAGCGTCAAGGGCATGTGGAAAGAAGGCAAAAAAAAATTTCGCGTCATTCCTGGGCCGAGGCCGTCACATAAGCTATGCGACAGACAGATGGAACTATGCAGTATTCATGGGAGGATGGAATCTCAAAAGAAGTCCACTGGGTATGCAGACGCTCCCCCCCAATTTCACTATACGCAACGTAGCCGCAGAAACAGGACACAATTACCTCAACGGCTAGGAGTGTTGTTCCCTTCCACAGAATAAGGCGCAGATGCTTTGTTCCGTATCACGATGTGTGAAATGGTGGTGTCAAGACGAGCCTCCCCCCACCACTCGAAGGAGGGCCTCAGTACGACCGTCCCCCTTCCTCAACACCTAGCACCTACCACTTTCCCACAAGTTCCCAGATTCCTACGAGTTCTTCTCCAAAAACTTTCCGTCGAAGGACGGGGGGGGGGAGGGGGTATATAGCCATGTGAAACGGGAAAAACCGCGAAAAGTCAACAACCAGGGAAAATTTTTCCCAACGCGGCAAATTTCTCTCAAAGGCACATACGACTCCCCCGCCCCCCCTCCCTACTCCAACAGCGACTAAATATGACCCCCCTCCCTCCCCAGCGACCAGTACGGCGATTCTCCCATGTGTTTCTCACAACGATGCTGTACGCTGCCTCCCTAAACCATCTAGAATGGCTATGAAATTTCTTGTTTGCTTTTCAGAGACGGCGCTCCCTTGATCCGAATAAGACAGCCATCTAGCGAAGATCTTTCTCCAGAAGCTCAACGAGCCGTCGATGCCATCGAATTTATCACGGAAAATATGAAAGATGACGAAACCACTAAACAGGTTTGTATTCAGAAAGAAAAAGGTTGAAGTTCCCCCATTAGTTCTGATCATTCAGACCCTCGAATTTGCACCCTTTGAAGATGATCGGGTAATTGAATCAGGCGCTTTACGAGAAAAAGCAGTGCCCAGAATAACCCTTGCGCTGCTTAAATGATTATATAGAATTGTGTTCTCGGAACGGATGTAGAAGAGTGAATGGGAATGTATAAGAGGAAGAACGGACCGAGGATGGCTCTTAATGTTCATCCTGCCAAAGGAAAAGCGGGTGGATGAGGTCAGGTGTCGAATGTCTGATCACAGAGGCTGAACCGTTCGTCGAGCTTCAGCGCTAGACTGACATTCCTTCTGCAACCGTACCGGGTTAAAAGGGATAATAATTAGGATAAAGTCTTCGCCGTTAATCAATCCCTTTGTGGGATGCGGCACGCATTCTACTTCCATTCAGAATCGTAGTGGCTTATTGAATGCGATGTGGCCTATACAATGACTTGCGGGGGCCAGCCAATGTAAATACAAAGTCAATGTTTTATCCTCGTGCACGAATCCGGTACCAATTTACCGTTCCCGGGGGTAGAACTGGCCGTGCGGTAATTGACCCGGGATCGTGCGAGTAGTAAGCGCGCCACTTGTCGATACACCACCTCGCCCTCCGCTGCATCTAATGAACTGGTCCTCGCTTCCCAGCGAAATCCGCGGTCTGAGTAGGAAGGAATAGAAACTGGGTAAGGAATACTCTCTCTAGCTTGGTTGCGGTGACGCCTACAATAACTCACGCCGGGAAGTAATTAATAAAGCTTCTTTGCTTTTTCGGGTAGACGAGAGCACTGGGACGAAATACCCTAGGGAAGCTCCGGCTGAGCCTGCATGCCCGCTTAAAATTTTCTGGACATCAAAAAAAAAGAAAAACAAGACTAACGATGCACATTTGGTTGATGTCTGTAATAATAATATTAGACATCAACAGTAAAAATGTAATAAATCGATATAAATAAATGGTAGCGAAGGGACCAGGTGACGTTAAAAATAGCCAGGCCAAGGGGTGAGGGCAGAATGATTGATCTGACGGCAGCCTGACCCTGCTAGTGTTGGAGCGCAGTATTGAAATAGCCCCAGCGTTGACGTTCATAAAAGGGTGCCTTCCTAGAAAGGCGACGAGGGACATATGCACAATATTTTCGGCGATATCCGCTTTACTCATATTAATTTTTTTCATAATTGACGGGTAAGAATAGCAAATGGAAGATTTCTATTTTTCTCAAATTTAGTATCGAGACGATTGGAAGTTCGTGGCCATGGTGGTAGATCGTGTCCTGCTTTACGGCTTTTTTGGAATCACTCTAGGAGGGACTATAGGTAAATCCAAAGTGTGCATGTCATTTTGACAATACTCATAGTTCTTCGCTTTGTCATACTGTAAACTACAGTAATGCTAATGCTAATGGTTTCAGGCATATTATTCTCCGCTCCAACGGTCTTCGAACGAGTCGACGAGCAAAAACATTTACAAAAACTCATTCAACTCTATAAACAAGGCCTTCCAGATAACGATACCTTCACGCCGTTATATTGAGAGCTCCATTTCATACGGTATTCCCGGGTTATTCTTTTGGAGTAGAAATCTGGCAAATTGAACCGCTCTTTATAAAACCCTTCTGTAGAGATCTGTGAACTTTGATAACTTGCTCGAGACTGGACTGTACTCTGAATTCTTGAGGATACACGGATGTTGCCAAATGTTTCTGCAAATCAGCTTAACTAGTTCCTGGAAATCTTCATCTGAAGGGTCCTTAATGTGAAGAGTCTGCTTCAGAGCTCTTCTCCAAAGAAATTCTCGTGGAACGGTGACGAAACGACTGATTTTCGCAAAGGGTCTCTAGTCTCTAGTCTATTTTACGGTTCTGACTGTCTCAATATTGTGCTGTTCTGGATTCCCTTTAGGTGTTGTACAACAAGAAGAGGCCCAAAATCTTTTGCAAAAGGATCTCAAGGACTTAGAAGGTCCTTCAGAAGAAGAAAAATTCTGGAGATGTCCAAGCCTTCTTTTACCAGCCTCTAGTGGTTTTTTTTGGAATCGTTTTTAAGGCCACTTTATGCTGTACAACCTCTATTTTCTGGTTACATATAAAGGCAGTATGCAAGGGCACGAAGTGTGGGGGCGGGCGGTTGCTGCAAGCGTGATTGGTGGAGGAGCGAAGTGGAGTCTGGCCAAACGCCCTCTTGCAGCCCTTTCCCCAAATGACGCTGGCAGCAACCGTCCTCCTCCAGCAATCGTGCCACTGCCTTTAATGGTGAGGGTCATACAGGGTAATTCTGAATGTTTCGCAGATGTTGCAACATTGACTGTAGAGTATCTTAATAAAAGCATCAATGTACAGCTCAGTTTGTGTATTTACATTCATCATATTTCTTCCAAATAGCAATTTTTTGGAAAGGTCAATGGCTCATTTTTGTTAAGCTATGTTTCTCTGTCATCTTTTTGGTTTCTCAAGGTCTCCTTTCCGCTTTTTCACCTCACTCGCTAGTATGAATAGAATAGAAACACAATACCACCGCCCGAACGATAGCATCTGATATACAGGGAGGGCCAAAAAAAGTCACTTTTCTTCATTGACTTTCGAGGCGCTATAAGTTACACTTTATTAAATTCTGATCGGACATTTTTACCACCATATTAAAGAGCATATCAAATACTATCATGACACTCCGCCACAGCCTTCTGGACGAGCGCCATCGAGAGATTCTGGCGCGACCGCGATGTGGTGCCTGAGATCAGAGATAGTCGATTTCTCCGCCACCGTAGACCACCCTATTGAACTCCGCCCGAACCGGGTAATTGAGGGTTCAGGTCAGGTGACCTACTTGGATATTCCATCTTGTTTAGGTATACTCCTTATCCCTGAGCCAGAGTAGGCGTGGCATTTGAACATGGCACGGAACTGGTTACTCGTGGAATATTCCAGTCTGGGACAACTGTCATCTTGTTCTGTGTTGGACAGAGACACGACAACAATTGTGTCAAGATGAAAATATCTCACCAGAAGCATAGACACCTTCAGGTTAAGTTGAAACATGCGGCCACGCCTACCCGATCTCAGGGATTTCGAGTATACTCAGCCCCCTTCCATTCCAAGTAGGCGAGTGTTTCTCCAACGCCCTTCGATTTCATGTGGTGGCACTCAATGCTGTAGCAGTACAAAGTTTCCAAGAAGGTACGGGCGACGACATGTGAGGAGGATATTCTTCTCGAGTTGCTCGATGTAACCGCCAGCGCTCACCTTCAGTCCGGGGTCCACGAAGAAAATATTGGTCTTTCCATTCCAGGTACGTCCGGTCCATACCATCAACCCGCGCCTGCGGTGAAGATGATGTCCTAGACCGTGGCGACGTTGTCGGAGCTGCTCGATGTTGGAGGTCTTCCAGATCGAGAGTACTGGTCTCCAGGTAGCTATCCATGGGTGACTCCATACTAGAAGTTTCGCAGCTGTTTGGAGGTGACATGAATTCCAAAGGTCTTCTCCAGTCAGGCTGCGACTGGAGATGACTTCATATTTTGGTGTACATGAAGGTGATGGGCGAGAGCCAGCTCCTGCTTATAGAGGAACATCTTGGGTATCTTCCGCCCTGGTACTCGTATCCACTGTCTGGGCAGCGAAAACTTTGCTGATATGTGACTCGGTCGAAGTGACTTTTTTGCCCCTCCCTCCTGTATACCCTTCAATTGAATCAAGCATATTTGGTTATCATCGATGGATTTGCAAGTGTGCACCGTGCCTTACGCTTCTACGCAGAGGTGGAAGAGGTGTAACTTCTGATTTTAGGTGATTTTGTCCACTCAATAAGATGCTCGTTTAGGGTTTGGGGAGGTTGATACGCACGACTCTGTTTGAGATGTATTATTCATCTACGCACTTACGAGTTCATGCTAACTACTGAATATTGCTATCAGTTGTTTTAATATTTCGTAGTCTTCCTTACATCGGAGTCCTCTGCAGCTTTCCGCCCGCTCCATCAAACTTAGCGATGACACTTTTGTGCTGCTTGGTGCTCACCGACCCTGCGTTTACGACCCCCTCCCCCCAGCGGCCAAGTACGAATCGCGTATTGCGGTAATGAACAGTTACAAACTAAAAACATCTTCAAAGCTCGCACGATCGCCCCAACTGAACCTTACATTCTTCCGAGATCGGTTATGCGGTACTATGGACCGGTGTCATCGCGAATCAATTCATGTACCGAAAAACCGTCCATCTCGCCTAAAAAAGCAAATGGCACTCTCAGCTCAGACTCTGCGCATCCCTGTTCGAGTTTCGCTACGTCAGAATAAAAAAGCAGAAAACAACTAACATTTCAAGCTTTATCCGCTCATGAATGAATAGGAATCGCTAATGTCACTGCCACAAGCATAACAGTCAGCGACTTCAAACAATCGCCCATAATTGCCTTCAAACTGTAAATAATTTACTGTATTCCGAGTTGCATGGGTGAACGTCTTTTCCTAAGAATTCCAAGTAGTTTTTCCTGTACTTCCTCTTAGTAGTACTTCCTCTTAGTAGTACTTCCTCTTCATCCTTTTTGCTCTTCGAGCAGCACCGGCAGATTACCTGAAGCTATTGGGCTACTTCACACTTTCCGGCAGCGTCCATCACCATGTATCAGCGAAACTAGCGTTCCGATCAGGGCACATCTTTGGTTGGGGATTTTAGTCGAATCGGTACAGCCCCCCCCCGCCTTTTTTTGGGGGTTGGTACGACCCTCTCCCCTCTGGCCCTCTGTCCCTCCTCATCGAATCTCGAGCCGTCGAGCGGGAGAGGGAGGGGGGGGGGGGGGGGGCAACCATCACTCCCACCACTCCTAGGAAGACCAGAAAGTAAAGCGACCACGACTTCCACCCCCCCCCTGCCCTCCCTCCCCCTCCCAACAGTGAGCAAGTACGACCGTTATACAACGTTTGTTTAGCGAAAAAAAATCAACTATCAAAATAAAATTTTCTCAGCCCAAATACGACCCCCCCTCTCCTGGCGGCCAAATACGACCACCCCTGCTGGGGATTCCCCAACAACGATGTATCTTGGTTCCTATTGTCCGGCTGCGTCACCGGCTAAGAAAGTATTAATATCGACTTAGCGTCCGCCAGCGTCCACTAGCGTCCACGACCGTTACGAGCTTCCGGCATCATCTATTAGGGAAGCATAGGTATCAATCTAGCAACAGCCAGCGTCCTTCAACGACCGGGAGTAAAGAGTATGGGGAGCTAGGAGAGTAGCAAACAGCTGGGTTAAGCGTCGTGAAATTGCGGCGTGCGCAACCGCACTGCACAGCTGCTGAAGCCCAGAATGATGCAAAGCAATGTACAATATTGTGTAGTAGTACGGTGCGATAATAAACATTAATCCAGCTGCGCTACTCTTCTACGTCCCCATATCCTCTACTCCCGATCGCTGGCGAATGCTGGTGGAAGCTGGTAGGACGCTAGCACGAAGTAGATCGATAGCTATGCTTCCCTGGCGCTCCGGACGCTGGTAGACGCTGGTGGACGCTGGGAGACGATGGTAGACGTTAGACCGATACCAATTCTCTCCTAGTCCTGACGCTGCAGGATGCTAGGAACGCTAGTGGACGCCAGTAAATGCTGGCGGACGCCGAAAGTGAAGTATGAACGCAGCTTTCTGATTCAGCTACCCCACATATGCCCGATGGCTAAAAGTGGCAGTATTCCATTTCTCAAATTCAGATTGCCTTTTCAATCTCACTAGGGTAGCAGGAGACGGCCAAGAGTTCCCGTCGCGTTAGAAACCAGGTTAAAGCAGTGCAAATATTGTATGAACACGTTTTTGACATTCGTCCGTAAGCTGCCAACGATTGTCAAAAAAACGAATGTCAAGCTTTGTGCGTGGTACCGGTCTTTGTGTGTTCACTCAGTATGCAGTTCGGTGGCGCAGTTCGGCGACGGGAGGGGGAGGGCATTTTGCTTCCCACTGATGTCTCGACCCATCTAGATAGCCTTTTCTTGAGTTGACAAGTTTACCATGGTGGCTAGACGAGCTTGCTCCAGCTTCACAAGAGTTCACAAGTTTCACCAGAGTGAGACTTGTAAACCGGAAGTAGTGAAGCAGTAGAAGCGCAAAATGCCCTCCCCCCCACGTCACCGCGCTGTGCTTCGGTTATTCAACTCGGACTTTATTCTCACATTTTATTTCTCTTTATTTCATTTGTCAGAACTGTGTCATCCCTTTTATAAGAAAGCAACGACTGCTCAGAAACTGCTACAATCTTCGCTCCTCCAATTCTTCAAAGTTGCAATGTATGAATCCTGTCCGACCTTAGCTTTTCCGAAATTTCCTTGGCGGAGGTCTGCAAAATGTAGGGTCGGGACTCAATGCCGCACCACCGACCAGGTCGCCGCGCGCGGTGCCCTAGTCTCCAGAGCGGCGATGACTCCTGTCGCACACCCATGAGCATGTCCCTCGAGTCCAGTGGCCTGCACTAAAGGTGTGGAAAAACGTCGAGAGTTACACTTCTCCCCAAGCAATTTTCTAAAAATTCGAAACAAGGGGATTGAGGGGAAAGCGC